CCTTCTGGGCGCAGGTGGTTCAAGGAGCTTACTCTTCCAACCTCCTTCTTCCCCTTCGGGGAGGGGTTTACCCCTCCCCCTACCCCTTCCCCTGGACCTGGACGGGGGGGGGCGCGAGCGGCCAGAGCGTCCAAGAAGGTACATTACGGCTCCAAGAGGGGCTCAGAGAGCCCAAGATGATTTCCAAGATGGTTCAAGATAGCTTACGGTGCCTCAACATGGTTCCGAAGCTGCCCCAAGAGACCCCACGACCGCTCCAAGACGGCTCCAAGAGGCCTCCGAGCTCGCCACGGAGATCCCGAAGACGCCAACATCCTTCAAACACCGAAGGAACGTCAATGTGTGTTTGCTTTCTCGCCTGTTTGCTTCCGATTGCCATCCGAGGCCTCAAGATGGTTCCAAGATGGCCCAAGAGGGCCCCGATAGAGGCCCACGAGAGCCCCAACCCAAGACGGCCCCAAGAGCGCCCAAGAGCGTTCCAAGAGCGCCCCGAGAGGGGCAAAATATGTGATGCTGGGCGCTCCCAAGGGGACGCGAATTTAGGAACCCGCCTTTTTTGACAGATCTCCTCCAATATGGCCCCAAGAGACGCCCAGGAGGCCCCACGAGGCTTCCAAGATGGCCCCAAGAGGCCCCCAAGAGGCCCCAAGAGGCCGCCAAGAGGCCCCCAGGAACCCCCCAAGAGGACCCCAAGCGGCCCCAGGAGCACCCCCCCCGAAGCACCCAAGACGTCCAAGAGGCCCCCTTGACCGCCAAGAGACCCCCAAGACGCCCGAAGAGGCTTCCAAAAGGCTTCCAAGAGACATCCGAGAGACATTCAAGATGCTTCTGGCTATTCTGCTGGTCCTCGTCCTCCTTCTCCTCCTCCTCCTCCCGCTCCTCCTCCTTCTCCTCCTCCCCCTCCTCCTCCCCCTCCTCGTTCTTCTCATCCTTCCCCTCCTTTCCCTCCTTCTCCTCATTATCCTCCTTCTCTTCCTTCTCCTCCTTGCTCGCCCTCCTCGTCCTCGCCCTTCCGACGACGACGATTCCTCCTCCATCTTCCCCCTCTTGGGGTATGTGACAGTTTCTTCCGCACTGTGTTGCTGGATGCCCCCCCCGCTTCCCTGATGGCCTCAACTCTCCTGGACATCGTTTCTGGATGGGCTGGTGTTGGACGCGAAGCGTCGACAATTTGACAAACCCAGAAAAGCCACCATTGACCACCAAACACAACGCAACCGCCATGCAATCGCAATTCAATCGCAATGCAACTGCAACGCGATCGCAACGACCATTGATGGACAAGTCACGCGGCTTGTGGGCAGCGCTGGTACATGTGACCAAACGCAACGCAATCGCAATGCAGCCGCTCGTGGCAGTTCAAAGGATAAACAGGGCTGTGATAATGTTGCCCTCGTTTGCAATGCACATACGCGTAGACATCACAAGCGACGACACCTGTACACGAACGTGGACATGATTCGTATACGCAGTCTCTTCGCGGACACTCTCTACACGTACTCTCCGCACGTACCCTTTAACCTACTATCATCACGCCTACGGCTTCTGCGCGTGCAATCTTATCGTACGTACATCGATAACGACGTATAGCTAATGACACTGCTGTCACAACCCATGCCACCTGGAAGATGCCAAGCGGCTGCCCGCGCTCCCAATCAAAACGTCAACTCGAGTCGCAAACTTGCGTTTGCACAGGGAAATATTTCTGGAAACAACAACACATTGAAAACAACATCTTTTTCACAAGCAGCGACATCTTTTTGAAAAACGACGACATCGAAACGAGCACTTTTGCCATATATGGGGCAACATCTGCGCGAGCTGTTTTCGATAACTTTTCAGCTCGGAATATTCAACTCCAACATCCCTCGCTGTCCACGCTCGTACTTTCTTAAGCGGAGGAGGAGGAGGGGGAGGGGGGAGGGGAAGGAGGAGTGGGAAGGGGGAGGAGGAGGAGGAGGAGGAGGAGGAGGAGGAGGGGAAAAGGGGAGAAGGGGGGGGGGGAGGAAGAAGAAGAGGAGGAGGAGGAGGAGGAGGAGGAGGAGGAGAAGAACGAGAAGGTTTAGTTGTTCGCGCGAGCAACCACTGAGCAGGCCCTCCGCGGCAGATTCTGGCGTTCGACCGCGCGCCCCCACAGCTTCGCGAGCCGCCCCTTCTTCCGCCCCGTCTCGGGCCCGGGGCCCGCGGGGTCAGAGCGTCGAAGAGCAGGGGCAAGCGATCGATCGCTCTGTCGCGCTCTACCTCCTCGTTCAAGATTGGACGGACCCCGGGCCGGCGGAGGGCGCGGCAGTTGCCCGCGAACTCGCCCTGAGACAGGCGCCCGCCCTAGCAGCGGGGGCGGGCCCGCGAGTCCCTGAACGCGCCCTCAGCGACCCTCTCTTCCGAGATCGCGGCGCTGCCGGAGGCGCCCATGACTGCGCCAATCTCCTTCTCCAACGTGCCCCCCTTCGCGGAGTTGATGCCGGGCGCCAGCTTGGATCGACGGGGCGCGCCCCTGCTCTGGGGCCCCGCGGCCAGGAGAAGATCACCTCCGCCCGGTCCTCTGGACTGCATTCCCAGGACTGATCGATCTGCCCTGCCCCCTCGTCGCCGGCCATCTCCGCGCTGCCCTTTGCGACGGCGGAGCGCGACAGGGAGGCGGCGGCGCGGCAGTCCACGCGCCCGTGCCCTGCTTTGACCGCCCGCGGCCGCGCCTTCTACTCGCGCGCCCCAAACGGCCCCCCACGGCGGCGCCCCCGCGGCTCGCCCGCGTGCGTCGGCGAGGCGCGTCGCTCCCACTCCTTCGTCTCGAGGGGGCCGCCTTGCATCGCGGGCGCGCGCGCATGATGGGGTCACCTCCACCGAGGACGATGGCGAAGTCTCCTGCGGCCCCCAGCCATTCCCCCTTCAGGACCGACGGACGTTCGGCGCCACTGGGCCGCCCACGTGCATCTTGGCGCCCTCGATGGACCTGGTCTGCTGAGGCGGCGACTCCTCCTGCCCCCCCCTTCTGACCGCCAGGCTGTCGGCCCCCGGCCGAACGAGCGTCGCGGCGCTGCTTAATTCCGCGGCACCTGAAACACATGCACCGGCACGGGCGAAAGGGGTCCAGGATCATGTTGGTGAGCGTCCTCGGGCACGCGCCGCCCATGGCCTAGGCGGCGCACTCGCGCGCGACGACCGAGCTCATGTTCAGAACCATGGAATCGCACCGCTCTCGTCGGCCAGGACGAACAGCGACGCAGCGAAGGCCTGTCCACAAGAAACCTCCCACGAGAAACCCAACCCTGAGACCCCGGGACCCCCATTGATGTTTGGCGCGGGAAGGTCGCGCTCTCCACTGCAAAACCGTCGAAACCTAAGAAACCCACGGCGCCCTGGTGGCAAGCAGGGCGTTTCTTGGCACGGGCCCCCACTGTGCAACACCGCGCCTGCGGTCGCATAAAAGGCACGTGACAGGACTGGTCGCGACCAGTTTGCCGCCCGCGAAACTTGCGAGCGCCGCCTGCCCCCCTGACCAAGGGCGCCAACTTGACCTTAGAAGTGGTGCCAAGAGTCACGCGTCCTCCTCGGACCTCGTGCCAGCCTTTTTCGCCAAATTGCGAGCTCGGCGACTGGGGGGCTCTGCCAGCCGCCGCCGCGCGCTCCCCACCTCTCTCCGCGGCCCTCCGCCTTGCGGCGTGGCTCCCGCCCCGGAGGGTCGCGCGGAGCGCTGCCCCGCGCTCTTGACCCTCTTCCGCAGTCCGCCGCTCGACCTCTCCGCCTTCCTCCTGCGCGACGGCATGGCAGGCACCCGAGAGGATGAACTTCTCGTTCCGCCGCGGCGCGGCTTCAAAGGCGCAGGCCCACAGGCCAGCAGCAGCGCCCAACCGACATTCAGAAACGGCTAGGCACCTGAGTCCAGATGGCCACAAACGTCGGGCAACGGAGACGATGCACATGCGTGTTGGCGCACGGGGGTTTATCGTCGTGGCTCTGCGGCAGCCGATGAGCCCATGGCGGGGAAAGCGACTGAGCAATTGCCATGGCGCGGCGGTGCATGTCAGTTTCCCCCATCAGAGCGCGGAGCGCGGGGAACGGGAGAACGAATGGGGGCGCCCCGTGGAGGCAGGCGCGGCGCCGGCATCTAAACGAAACTTCGCACGGACCGTTGCATCTGAGGCGCGACAAGCAGCTGAACGCGGCCGACTGGACGCACTGGCGGGCTGGGCTTGGGTGCGCGCCGCCGAGCAGAATTCTCTTCGGCTGTCCGAAGGAGCGACGGAGAAGGCGACTGGGGGGCGTCCCACGGGGGCAAGCGCGGGCACTGAAGCAGAAGAACTAGACGCGCTGGCTGTGGCGCCGCAGGCAGCATGCGATGGCGAAGAGCGGGCCCAGCGGTCCAGACGGCGATGAGCGCGCCGCACAACATGGCCGATTGCTTGGAGCGGCTCTGGTGCGCTGAGACCCTCGACTGTGTAACCCAGGGAGCCTTCCTCGCAAAAAAACCCAAGATCTGAACGGCTGGAAAGTGAACTTGGACGGGCGCAAGCGGAAACGGCGGGAGCACTAGAACACCTGGACGCAACGCTGTATGACGAAGAACGCCCGGAGCAGCCGCAGGAAGTGCCACCGCAGGGCCGCCCGGTAGAGGAGGCGGTGGCAGTGGGAGGGGTGGACCAAGAGGTGGTGGCGGTTCAGAAGGCAGCCACGGCGGCGGCGGAGGCGGGTAGCCTCTACCACGCCCCGCGGCCATGTCACGGTCGCTCGCCCCGTGCGAGCGACGCGCTGGCCCAAGCCCTGTGAATGAGCATGTGCGCGGCACGGCTCGAGTCTGAGGAGAATGAGGAGGATGAGAAGGAGGAGAAGGAGGAGGAGGAGGAGGAGGACGAGGATGGAGGAGGAGGACGAGGGGGGAGGGGATGATGGACGAGGGCACGCGGAGAACGGGGAAGCCAGGGGGATGGAGGCAGGAGAGCGACTTGGGGAATAGCGAACGGGGTGGAGGGGAACTGCTCCCCCCGATGGACTTCGCGGCCCGCCTTCTGCAGCTGCGGCTTCACCTCAGCGTGTGGTCCAACTCCTCTCCTCCGAATCCTTCCTACATCAAACCATCATCAGCATCAGCATCATCAGCAGCATCATCACCATCATCACCATCAGCATCAGCATCAGCATCAGCAGCATCATCATCATCATCATCATCATCATCATCATCATCATCATCATCAGCAGCATCATCATCATCATCATCATCATCATCATCATCATCATCATCATCATCATCATCATCATCATCATCATCATCATCGTCATCATCGTCGTCATCATCATCATCATCATCATCATCATCATCATCATCATCATCAACAACAACAGCAACAGCATCAGCATCAGCATCATCATCCTCATCATCCTCATCGTCATAAGCAGCATCATCATCATCGTCATCACCGTCATCATCATCAGAATCGCCAACATCATCATCAGCAGCAACACCATTGCCACATCAGCAGCATCAGCATCCCCATAATCATCATCAGCATCTCATCATCATCATTATCATCATCATCAACATCATCATCAGCAGCATCATCATTATCAGCATCACCATCAGCATCAGCAGCATCAACATCAGCATCATCATCACCATCATCATCATCATCAGCAGCATCATCATCAGCAGCAGCTTCATCATCAGAAGCAGCATCAGCACCACCAGCCGCGTGATCGACATCATTAACATGCTGATCATGATCATCGTCATCAGCAACAGTTGCACCATCATCAGCATCATCATTGGCAGCATCACAATCATCAGCGGCATCATCATTATCAGCATCATCATCATCATCACCATCATCATCATCATCATCATCATCACAGCATCATATTCAACGTGTTGTTCAGAAGCATCACCATCAGCAGCACCATGACCATCTCATCATCATCATCATCATCATCCTCAGCATCATCATCATCAGTATCAGCATCACCATCATCATGAGCAGCGTCAGCAGCAGTAGCATCAGAATCACCAGCACCCTTATAATCGTCAACAACACAATCAACATAACCATCAGCGCCGTCATCATTGCCATGGCCAGCATGGCAATCATCACAATCAACAAGACCAGTATCATCATCATCAGCAGCAGCTCAGTGACACCAGCACCACCAACACCATCATCATCACAATCAATAAAGCCCTAATCATTTGCATCAGCATCATCATCATCATCGCCATCACCATTCCAATCGTCAAGATCAACAGCATCATTACCACCACCATGCTCATAATCAACACAATCATCGTTATCATCATCAGCATCATCATCGTCGTCGTAACCCTTATCATCATCATCAGCATCAGCAGCAGCATCATCATGATCAAAAATATCACAGCAAAGCAACCTAACAGCGATGTGTAGAAGCATATATACGAGCAGCCTCCTTGTGGCGAAGAGGAGATGCCAAGCCTGCCACAGTTGAATGACTGACTAATTATATAAGTGTATGTTGGAATGAGCTTTATCCAAACATAAATGCATGGAGGTTTAATTGAAACACAGCTAGCCATGGATGTGAGCGAAAGGGGACACTGCTATCAACTGATATTTATCTCTGCGAGAGAAACCATTTACGAGACACTTTTCGGGACGGATCAATGCTCGATCAAGGTGTGCACGTAAGCAAAGCTGGAAGCATAGTCTGAAGTACTCTGTGCGTTCGCGAAAAGTATGCCCAGACGAGATCACAATTAACCGCGAAAAGTATGTCGCGGAATGGGACACTGCTGTCAACCGATCAACGGCCGACCGCCGTAGCATCGAAGCGTCTAGAAACGAAATGACACGAGCACCCACTATAAAAAAATAGATTGGTGCTGAACTCAACGCTGTTTGGAAGCACGCACAAGAGCAATGGCAGGCTGAGAAGCGCTGCGGGCTCAAGTGAGTCATTCCGTGAAGCGATACAACAGGACCTGAGAGCTCAAGAGCACCGCAGACGTATGCATGTCAGCGGCGGCTGCAAGGCGAGAGGCTGAAGGTAAACATCGCTGGCGATCTGCATGGCGTATAAGAACTCGCCAAGCAAGCAGAGAAATAACCGAACGCACGCTCGGGGCAGCAAGCTGAGAAGCATCGCTGGCAGAGCAGCAGCCTCTCATTTCAAGCTTTCTCCTGACGGGTGGGTTTCGAGGATTCTGCACTTCTTGGCTGAGTCCTGTGTCTTTGTCCACGCATTCATCCGCTTGTGCTCACCAGATTGCTGAAGCTCTGTGCGCATACCCAATGTTCTCAATGTCTTGATGAAGTACTGCGCCTCTATCACCGCTTCCTCGTCGATGCGTGTTACGCTGTGCACAATGATAGCATCCTCTGAACAGCCTGCAATGAGCAACAGGCAGACCCTGTGCTTCGCTTTGTTCGGCGGATCCATCTTGAAGGAGAGCAAGTTGTCTATGGAGCAATAGCCGTGAATGGTCATCGCATGTAAATTTTCATCGTCGGAGACGTCCGTCACTCCTGGAGTAGACACGAGGAAACCACTCGCAGTGGAGACGCATCGGGACTTCTGTGTCGTGCGAACCAGAGCCAATGCCAAGTGGCAGTTCCGGGAAAGCTGAGAAGCATCACCTTCGCCACTCGCCGAGGGACACTGCACGCGCGTGCTGTAGAAGGGGCAAGGACGTATCTCAGACAGGTGTGATGCGAGCATGGCGCCCTGGCTCTCGCGGCACTGTTTCAGGATCTCTAAGACTATGTTGTAAGAGGTATTGGGAGCGTGCGACAGCTGGAGCGGGGATGCTGCAACTACAGTGGTGTTCACAAAAGTCCGCTCAAGCGTGTCATCGTCAGATCCTGCAGGCACATGGCGGACGCGTCGTATTATGCGACAATTGCCCAAAGGAGGGAAGGAGATAGCTCTCTCTCTTGGTGGACCTTCAGAAACTCGGCCATGGAATCAATGCCACTCAGTGCGAAGGCTGCCGCTTGGGAGACGGCTACTTTGCAGGAACCGCTGAAATCGCGAGCACTAGTAGTAAAGAATACGCGCTGACCTTTGCTCTCCACGACAGAGTCGCCAGGGTCCGGCCCCTCGAGCCTCACTCCGTTCACTTGCAACAAATGTGGCAAATTTGCGTCCGGGTCTTCCGACGCCATCTCCAGAAAGGCACAGCAGGACAAGCGAGCGTCTCCGGTGAGAACTTGTGAAGCGTGATCTGGATTCCATGCGACCTCATGGGCGGCTGTGAGCTGCTCTCGATCCTGCGCGAAGTTTTCCTGCGCCACCAGGTCTTTGAGCTTAGTCATTCTGGGACAAGAGCATGCGTCATCGACAACGCGATCCTGTGACAGGTTCAGCTCCAACTTGCCATCGAATTTGGCCGCTACGTTGAGAAACAGCAGCGGTTCGCCTTTGTGTGATCTGCATTTCTGTATGTTAGTTTCTCCCCAGACAGCAAGCACAACCTCCGCGGTCTTGGACTGCGTCGTCTGGCCCCCGTCCACCAGGTGGACATTTGCCACTGGACCGTGGCCCATGGGAGTGCGAGTGTCTGAAACAGAATGAACCACTGCCATGACATCGAAGGAGCGACGCGACTTGATGTTCATCATGTCTGCCACAGTAGTCAGTGGGGCTGGCGCTGATGCCAAGGATTTCTCCTCTGGAGAGCTCTGGAGGACAGGAGTGCACGTTGCGCGCTTGAGATCGGCCACCGCTCGAACAGACGTGTGGATATGAGCGTCCTGCTGCTGTCCGTCCAGGCCAAGCTTGGAGAGTTTCCATGCTGTGAGTGGACGGAATTTGTCTAGAGCAGCATGCACTTCTGAGGCAGTTCCTTTGAGGGTCGCCTCGCAATAGTGCTCGGAGCTCGTTCCTAGCAGAACGCAGGTGAATCGTATCGCGTCGATCTGCTGGCCATTGCGCTTGCTTTTGTAGGAGTATTTGAGCTCCCCTGGCATGTACACCCGGACTAAGAAGTCTTGGGTTTTAGCACTGCTCTTCGTGAGAGTGCCCAGTGGGGACGTTGGCTGTTCTGCAGCAGTAGCCATGATGGCCCACTTTCAGAGACAGCGATGCGGGCACAGCGGCACAGGCTGATGAGCACCGCGCAGAGCACGGTGACACAGGCTGAGTAGCCCCGTGCAGGCACGGTTGCGCGTGCGATGGTCAGTCGCGTAGAACAAAAGAGCTTTTGGAGCCAGAATGGCAACGTGTGGAAGGTCCTGGGAGCTGCATGCATGGTTAAGAAAATGTATGCTTGTTGCGCTCTGAGAACCTGCATTTCAAAGAGCTCGCGCTTACAGCGCACTCCTTGTAGCGAAGAGGAGATGCTACGCCTGCCGCGGTGTGGGAGTGTGCTGGGCAAAGCGTCTGCACTGTATGGGTGCGTCTGTTTATGTGTGTGGTGTTTGTACTCGGCGTTTATTGTATGTGGTTGTGAATGTATGTTATGTTTGTGCTGTGTTTGTGCATGTGCTGTGCCGTATGCGAGCGCTGTGCTGACAGGAAGGAGTGCGAGAGAAGGAGGTGATGGAGGAGGAAGGAATTATACAAGGAAGCTCGGTTTTAATGCACGCCTCGGCGATGTCCTCAATGATTGTATATCTACTTCACCTATGCCTATGAGTCATGCGTTGAAACGATGGTCTGCTATCAATTGATGTTTTTCCTGGAAGGAAGACACGGTCAGAATATTCGAAGTGTCTGCATAGGAGACAGCGCTGCCCCATCAGCATCGACGCATTCAGAAAAGCTCCAAGTGCATGTAAAGGAGATAGCGCTGCCCAATCAGCACCGAAGTGTTTAGAAGAGGATTTGAAGGCTGAGAAGCACCGCAGGCAAAAGTCAGACAGTTGGTGCAGCGAGGGGAAATGTTGCCACATCAGCACAGAGGCGTGTAGAAGAACTGAAAGTGTTTGCAAAGGAGACGGCGCTGCCCCATCAGCACCGACGCGTCGACGAAAGCAACTGCAGGCTGAGAAGCACCGCAGGCCAAAGTAAGGTGGCTGCGGCGGTGAGGGCAGGCGATTCAGCGGCTCGCCGCCTGCTG